ACATGTGTGTGATCCCACCTGCTTTAACAGCTCGCTGAATAATGGCACACCATGAAAAGTGATGCTATTGAGCTGTGAATCTGCAGCTGATTTTACAGGCCGGTGGTGCAGGATCACAGCACTAAATCCACTTAATGAAATAAAAGAGCTTTTATGACAATGTTAAAAAGACAGACAGCATGGATTCACAATTCAGATAATATGAGCGGGTAATAAGTGATCGTTAAGAGTTAATGAGGCTATATTTATGGGGTGATATAGTCTGGAATTGTGTTAAAGGGACAATATCATTGAAAATTTGAAGGAAAAAGGCTTTTCTTGCACTCTTGACATAAAACAGGTGACTATTGTTAGTAAACAGTACCTGTAGGGAAGTGACGATTATATGTTGTATATGATGCGTCTCCGCTGTTGGTTGTAATATTGGTGAAGTAAATCCACACTTTGCTGAAGAAGCGTTAGCAAACTCTTGAGCAGCAACAATCGTACCATGTACTCCGCCATTGTTGTGTATGTTTGTTCGCACTTGCCTTTAAAATTGACACGCACTGCGCATGTCTACATACCTAACACGTACCACGTACGTGCATGACGTCACCATTTAAAAATATTCCCGTTTTGGGTGTTTACACGGAAACGATAAGTGTGTCGTTTTCAAAAACTTGCACTTTGAAACCCGTTTTCAAAAATATGCATTTTCAGTCCGCAAAACGCCATTGTCATGTAAACGAACAGCAAAACGCATAAAAAGTTTCCCGTTTTTGGCTGAAAACATTGTCGTGTAAACATCAATTGATCATTTTCAGGGACCTCAGGAAAAACAAAAAATAAAATGCGACACATAGTATAGTCATAGTGTATGTAAAACTGTAATTTCTACTAGGAGCTAGTAGGAGCACTAAAAAACATAAATATAATTATATAAATATAATTATTGTTTTCAAACAACTTGAATGGGCACAAACCCTTCACTAATATCTAGAATGAGCTATGACATCAAATAGAGCAGATAGGAAAATAATAATGTACTGTATATTAGGGGTCGGCGATCTGACGATTTTATATCGGGATCGATCTAGAAGACATCTACGATCTACTTTTCAAGCGAATCTTAGAGATTGTGATCTTTTATGTTCTCGTAATAATGTTAAAACTACAGCAATGACTGCCTACTAGATGACTATGACTGGCCAAATTATATCACGTGTCTTTATTATGTGTCTTTCATGCGTGATGATGTATTTGAAAACAATGCAATGTGAGCTAGCAATAGTAGTGCGATGAATGAAATTTAAAATTTTGTTTCGATTTTAATAAAACGATTATTAAACCGCTTGCCGTTTCTTTAATTTAAAGCGGTGTGCTTTTGACCATCCTTAAAAGCTTAACGCCCAAATAAGTCAAATCAATCTAACGTGACTGTCGTAAAAGGTTTTCTGCGAGACGAGCTTTATTAAAAAAAAAAAAGAGTTATTAAAAGCGCATTAACTGCGAAAGAGCCTGTTCCTCAGGCACATTTTGTGTGAGCGCTCCGGCACAGAGCTAAACACGAACAAGCAAAGTATACTTAGGATTTCAAGTACACGCATAAACGGTCAAATATACACAAAAAATATGTAAAAAAATGTCTGTCTTGGCGAGTATTTACGTAAAGACAATCAGTTATGTCTTAAATGAACAAACAACTGGGAAAGAAATTGGATGCGTGTCAGTATTAGATCTGTGCTTTCGGTCTTAAAGAGACAGCAGCCTAATAAACATACTGCTGTCTGTGTCATTCATGTTAAACAACAAAAGACAGAGAAAATCCCTCACTACTCTTGACTGAATCACTAACTTTATTAAGAATCAATGTATATTTAATTCATACAGTGATGCAGGGTTTTAAAGTTTAACTCAGGGTTTAGTGACCATTTTGACAACATATTGTTTAATGCAATATTTTAAATTGTTCAAATAGATAAGTCATAAGCTTGTTCCAGTCTGGATATTCTCAATTTGTGAAGATTGTGATTCATATCGTGGATTGTGATTTTGCGTTATAAGATCGTGATATGATATTTTGGGGAGATCGCCCACCCCTACTGTATATCATTTAATATTTTGAGAACCATTGAATCAATCAATCAATATGGCACTGGTAAAATATCCACTAAAATATAATGAAATTGTTTACAAAAAAAAAAAAAAATCGCTGCCAGAAAACATGGTTACTTTCGAATGGCAGTTGATGGAGGAGAAAGTTGCATTTTACAATCAGACGGTGCAGTTATGACATCTACCAGTAGGCACTAACTAGCCAAACCAGGTAGTCCAGAACCAAATTCACTTTTTTAAATCCAATGTTGTTACATTTGGGCCATTCAAAGAAACTGGTGGTGCCAGTGGCATAGAAATTACATACTTCATCTGTAAGGTGAAAGAGAGTGATTTGTGGAGTGATATGATCTTTGGGAGTGTAAGCTCTTCTGTTACGGGAGAAAGTGTCTCCAGCGGTCTTACAAACACTATCACACACCCACAATCCAGCTACTCAGAGTCTATAAGCTCTTTGGGCTGGTTCCAGGGCACAGATTAAGTTGAAAGACGGACTAAAAACAGCATTTAAAGAACAATCAGCTCTGACAGAGTGATTTGCTCCAGCACTCAGCTTAATGTGTGTCTGAAAATGTTTTACGTCTAAATAAAAAATAGAATTTTAAAAAAAGAAAAAAAAAACATATGTATATATATATATATATATATATA